TTTTATTTGCTCTTGGTGGGGGGGGGTGTCAGATTGGAGGTAATTAAGATAAGACCCCACTTCCTTCCTGTGTGCATCTTATTCCCTTCCTTGCCATCTTTGTTAATTTTAAGTGAATTTTAGTGTCAGTATTTATTGTTTTTAAAGTTTTGTTGTTTTATCTTGTTGCTTTTATTGATTGTAAGCTGCTTAGAGGTACCTCTAAGCAAGAGGGATGGCATGTAAGTTTAATACATAAATAAAAGTTATACTAACTAAATTTGAGAAATACAGCCAGTCATGATTTCTGTTTCATATGTAGCATTCAAGCAAGGAATTGTCAAACCGAGAGTGTATCATGGTTAACTAATTCTTCTGTTTAAAAGGGGAAAGGGGAAAGATAGAACTTCAGTGCTTTATTTAAGCTTCTTGAGAAGATTAATCTATGTGGATCGTTCGTTTGTTTGGGACAGGAGTAATATGTTATACCGTGTTTTGCCCAAAATATGCTGTAACTTGATTTTTACAGGTGCGCCTAATATAAGCCCTACCCCCAAAATAAGCCCTAGTTAAGACCCTGTCCACCCCATCTCACCATCTGGTTGTATGATGTGGGGCGAGGCACACGCGTAAAAATCAAGCTGGGTGGGGGGTGGAGCTGCCCACATGCCCTGCACTCGCTTACCTTAGGACCACCGCAGCCAGGCCCCCCACACCCTCACACCTGCCATGCCAATTCCTGACTTCTTTTGCGGCTGGATGCCACATGGCGCATTGCGCCAGTGCTGTGAATGGCAGCACCGGTGCGACACACCACCAGCACCGGTGCGACACACCACCAGCACAGTGCGCCATGCGGTATCCGACCGCAAGCGGCCGCAGAAGAAGTCAAGCCACAGCGCAACAGTGTCGGGGCCTGGGAGGCCTGGCTGTGGTGGTTCTAAGGTTAGCAGGTAAGACATCCCCCCAAAATAAGACCCAGTGCCTCTTTTGGAGGCAAAAAAAAAATAAGACGAGGTCTTATATAAAATGGACATAAGTGTCCATCTTATGTTGAAGTTGAAACTAGGTGAGGTTGAAATTGATACTAGGTGAGGCTAGCAGGAAAAATGGGTATGACACAATAGATAAGACTTCAAATTTTCAGAAACATTAATATTATTATTGAGTTCCGTCTCATTGTGCTGGATCTCAGAGGCCAATAAGTAGTTAATGTATGCTGATGCTTCATATTCAGAATGGCAGTTCTATTAAAATCACAGTGAAATAGCTGCTTATTAATAGATATATGGCATACAATGCAAAAAAAAACACGAGATTCTTCTCCACGAACCTATTATTCCTATGAGATAAATATGGGGGAAATTGTAGAATGCTAGAACAGAGAAAATTGCTATTTCCTATGTTATAATATGTTATGCTCCTAACAGAAGGGTAACTGCAGCATAACCGTTCCCAAGATACTTTGTTAACAAAAAAGAAAGTATTACAAATGCTCTGCCTTCACTTTTGTTGGGGTGTTTCCCATGTGGCTTTAAAGGATAAAGAACTAGTTTTAAAGGATGAAACATCTTGGAATCACATTGACGTAAGATCAGAGGTGTGGAGTTTACATAGTTTACAAACAGAACTTAGATTTTGCATTCTAGATTATTTTGCATTTAGTTTTAGTATTGCCACCACAGCATGTTGCTATCTTTTGCTTCTCAGAATTGGAAGTATGCCAAGTAGCACGTATTATATTTCCACTATAAGAGGAAAACACTTCTGCACCTTGAATAAAAACAGATTCTTCTGGATTAAAATAAAATTGTCCACCTCCAATAGCGTTCATTCAAATGTATCCACTTAAAGCCAACTATGAAAGCAATGAATCCTACCCAGCATTTGACATCTAAATTACATAGTTAGCTTAAATAACTAGTAATTAAGTGTACCAACCATTTCCATATCATGGTTCTTGAAGGAACAGTTTTTAATTGGATATATCCGAAGAATCTTTGAACAAACGTGGAAGCAATTTTTGAAAGTCCAATCTCTAGCTCCAAATTATAATGGTGTCCTTACAAAACCTCTGTTTGGGTTTTGTCACTCGTTTAAAACTTCAGCCTGTAACTGTAATATTTACTTACTTTCTTGCCCTAGAAATTAACATTGGCTATTAAATGTTAGTGAAATCTAAATAAAAAAGATGATGATAATGCTTACAGATTGAGATCCGGTAACTCCATTCATGCCATATTCTTGATAGCATTACAGGAATGGTTTGCCATAGTTAGATTCCAGGGAGTTTTTGGGACTTCCCAGTCTAACTACTAATAGACATTAAATTCCCAGATGTTTCCCATCCAAGTATTTACTGGAGAGACTCTGCTTAGTTTATGAGTTCAGCCAAGGTTAGTTTATGTCTGCCCTCCCAGGTAAGCAAGACAGGAAACATGGCCAGATGAGCTAATTCTACATTAACAGAATCATGCAAATCTGAAAACACAGATCTCTGACAGTCACTTTTAACAGCCTGTTCAGTTAGGGAAGGTCTTTCCTAAGTTTCTTTCTCTGACTATTAAGCACATCCTAAAATGCAAAAAAAAAAGTGTTCACCCATGACTTAAAGAGAAGTATAGGCTCTGTATTACTTTCTAGTGCCCTGGGAACCTAAAATTTGGATAGCTGTTTTATTTTCACTTCTCTGTTTTTCTTGCTTTTTATAGAATTTTATCTGTGCAGGTTCATCACCTATAATGGAGAGAAATAATTGTTGTGCTGCTACTCCTGTCTGGCATATTAATGATCATTAATGTTGATATTATGATGGGAATTATAGGTCAGCACATTTAGAAGATGTTATTCTCTTACATTTTGCAACAGTGGCCCCCAACCTTTTGGGCACCAGGGACCGGTTCCATGGAGAGAGGTTTTTCGGTGGACCGGAGGGGACTTTCATGTGCTTCCTGCATCCCGCGGATGGAGCTTTGCTTTTTTGCATAGCCCGGTTCCTGGCATGCCGCAGCCCTGTGCTGGTCCACAGACCGGGGATCGGGGACCCTTGTTTTACAACATACCATTGTTTGATATTAAAATATTGTCTAGGGAACTGTCACCTACCTAGAGTACCCAGCAGCAAATATTCTGATCATAATTCTTCCACTTGAAAAAGATAAAGTCATCCTACACATGGAGTTGCTGAAATTGAAGAATATATAGGGACATGATTAGACATGAGCATTTTCTCTAGCATGTAATATACACCTGTTATAGAGAAGGAATGCAATTTGCAGAAAGTATTTTCCTTCTAACTACTAATATAGTTGTCAGGGAAAATAATCAAGCAGAGATTTTTGTTCCAAAATTGATACATTTGCCCAAATAAGAACTGACTGCTTTTATGTTTTAATACAAGCATATGGGGAATATTTTAGTAACATAAATTTGGTTTATTAATGTATGATAACTTTGGGAATAGACATAAGAATGGGATATATAGGGTGTACCAAAGATCAATTCCCATAGACCAATCAAAATATGGTTTTGTTTTACTATTTTATTAATATATTTAAGATAAGATGTTACTATACATAGCAATGTTCAAATGTCATGCATCAAATGAATAAAGAAGTATTTAGAGAGAAAGGCAACCAATTTGAACTTTTAATGTGATTTATATAATAAATTGACAATGGGGATGGGTGTTTTGTACATCCTATATATATATATGGCATTGTTCATTAATGACAAGTATGAGTAAAAACAAACAATTTAAGATAAGGACAAAATGATTAGTATATTCGAACATAATGGTATAGGGCAGGGGTAGGCAACCTTGGCTCTTTTATGACTCGTGGACTTCAACTCCCAGAATTCCTGTGCCAGCATAGTTGGCTCAGGAATTCTGGGAGTTGAAGTCCACGAGTCATAAAAGAGCCAAGGTTGCCTACTCCTGGTATAGGGTTTCCTGCCTGAGCAGGGGGTTGGACTAGATGACCTTCAAGGTCCCTTCCAACTTTACTATTATTATTATTATTATTATTATTATTATTATTATTATTATTATTATTATTATTATTATTATTATTATTATTATTATTATTATTATTTCTTAATATGGCAACCTATGTGTAAAAAACATATTTATAATTTAGAAAAGAGTGTTCCTGAGTATGTCCTTAAACTAAGAATTTGTTTTCAGCATCAGGTTCACACTGAATTGTTTCAAACAAGTGAATTCTTTTCTGACTCAAGCATCCTTCATTTCAACAGCCTGATTTTAGCAGAAAATATAATTTTATTTTTCAGAAGTTAAACATGAATTAGAAATGATTACTAATATATTGAAAGACATCCAGTGGTATGTCTATCCCCTGCTGATACATTTTCTCTTTTACATTATTTCCACAATAATGAATATTTGAATGCTTCATATGTAATTCCATAAGGTGGCTGGATTTTAAATGTTAATGAAGCATTGACAACGTATTTTGACTTGATGAAAAGTTATCTTTCTGTCAGATATTAATACAGTTGAAAAACAGTTTTTGCAATATTTACAGTTGTCCTGATTCCATAATAATGTATCTTGGCCTCTCTTCAAAGGTTTAAGAAGTCTATCAGTAATAGTTTGTTATTATGAATTGTTTCAGATTATTTTTAGATGGAAAGCTTATTCACTCAATTTGAAATAGCAAAATAATTCTTGGTCTGTTCTTTTGTTTATGTAACCACTGATATTCAGAGGAGGTTTTAAAATACTAATCACAAATAGGGAAACTCAGGGCTTTTTTTGTCATAGAACGCCCAAAAAGTTGTTTCGAGGTCATTGGACCATTCAAATTATATTTTATTCTTTTCTACAAATGGTGTGATGCATACTATTTAATTATCATTTGAGCTTTATAAACAAAGCATTATGGTACCATTGTGTTGCAGTATTATGGGATTCATACCGTTTTTATACTCGTTAAAATATCAAAAAGGCTAAAAACATTTTCTTTTTTATAATGTAATTTCTTATTCCACCTCCATAGACATCAGACATCCAGAAGAACTCTCTCTTTTAAGAAAGTCCCGTGATTCAACCAAAAAGAAAAAGAAAAAGCTGGATGACCAGTATGAGGATGAAACACTTGAGCTGGAAGGACCACTAATCACACCTGGATCAGGTAGAACCCCCTCCCCCCCAATAGCATGAGTATGCAGAATATCATGGAAAAGCCTTAGAGGGGGAAAAAAATCCTTTACCACTTACTAGTGGTAATTTTGTTTAGTCACACGTGTTTCCTTGATGGCTGTGAGAGAAATGGCATTTCAACCTTAGTATGCATTGGAGAGCTTAATAATATTTAGTAATTAGTGTTTAATATCACTTACTCAGTTCTGCAAAAACAGTAGCCCTATTCAAATAGTATTTTCAGTATTGAGCCTAACTTGTGTAGTAATTTAGCATGTACTAACACAATTGTCTTGAGCTTTATGATGAATTTGAGGAAATTTTCTGCATATATTTTAGCTTGTTCCTTGCCAGTTTTTTTATTATTCTGTACTGAGTGGGTAGTACTTGAGTTTGCTGAAGTGCTAGCTTATGCGTCTACTACTTCTCTACTGGTAGCTTATACTCTATTCTCTTTTACTCCCAGCTAGATCACAGAAAGTTTCAAAACTTTCAATTTTATCCTTGTTTGTTATTTAACAACAAAGTGTACACCTGTTTTTCACATTTTAGAAATACTGTTGTTCTTTGCTTCTTTAATTATGGAATGGCATTGCTGTATTATTTGCTCTGTGATCTGTTTGTAAAAAAGAAATTAAATAGAATGTTGAATTTAAGCAAAGTTGGGCAGTCGTCGGATTTCCAAATATTTTAAGAACAGTTGCGACTGAACCTTGCACTAAGATGCTGCTGCGCTGAATATGTTTCCAAAACAGACTGAGAGGAATTTAAGCTTGCATAAATGAACCCCTGGAAAATAGAGAAAATTGTGGGAGATTTTCATATATGGAGTAAAATAGATTGAAACATGAAGGGAACAAATTCCATACTTGCAGGAACCTACATAGAAAATGCTTTTTAAGATGCAGTGTTGAAATTCTTTATGGGGGGAGGGCATGATAAGCACTAAGTTACCAACTTCAGACTATTGGAGTAGGTCACAAACATACCCAATGTAGGTGCTATTCAGAGCCTTGAGTACCATCAACACTATATCAGTTGTAATATGCTGCTCTGTGGACAAGACAGTGTTGTCTGTTGTGCATTGGTATAGCAATTGTATCTTTTTAATCATCAGATAACAATCATTAAAGCGATAGCCATCTGCTTTAAGCAGTTCCACCAGATATTGATTTAGAGTTCCTTGAAAACCTCTACATATACACTGGGCCTGCAAAAAATTCCATCAAATATAGTTTACTGTATGATACTGGTTTGAAGAAAGAGCTCTTTTTGTTGTTGTTGTTGTCAGCAGGAACTACTGATATTCTTCTGAAGTCTGGCAATGCCAGTCCCAGGAACCCCTGTGGAGAAATGTAACAGATCATTTTACTAAAGCAAACCTGAGTGGAAATTTAATGCCCAAACATCTTTCCTGTCTCCTACTTAAAATGCCAGCCTTCTCTTTTTTTAAATGGCAACCGGAGATGTTATGTGCCAGCAAATGACTTCATGTCAAATGTAACTTTTCTTGCTGCTTTACTGGATAATCAGATGCTTGAGACTAGAATTCTAAATCTGCTTTCTTGAACATCAGGCCCATTGAAATCATTGGAAGAGATTTGTATAATTACCATCAGTCACTCATTGTTTTCAGATTTCTGTGTGTAGATATGTAATTGAAGTTCCCAATTTATGCAAGAAAGGATTTTAAGAAAATTGAAATAACAATTTGAGAGGGGACTGTAATGATGTTAATATGAATTGAAGGGAGTCATGTTTTGGTTGAGTTCTTTTACTTTTCTCTTCCTCCTGTGTTTCTTTTTGTTTATAACTTACATTATCTTAAAAACTGAGATCAATATCAGTGATTAAAGATTAATAGATGAGTGGGTGCTTTGCCCAGTTAATTTACCTCAAGTCCGTAGTATGTATTTATCTAAGCTACAACAAAATAAAATTTCTGTTTTCTGTTTCTGTTTTCCCAACACAGCTGTTTTGCTGTAAAGTGAAAAGAGTCAGTAATTCTAAGTTTAGTCTTGTTTGAGTCTTTTTTTCTCCATCCTCTCCCAGATATGTTAAAATTGTAGGCAAAATTCCCTTTTCCTCCAGTGTGAATGTCCAAACTGGGAAATACTGCAGTTACTTGTACAAAGGAATCTCTTTGCAGTTACAGGTAATCCCTGAGTTGTGATTGTTCCCTTAGCAAACGTTCGAAGTTACACAATAAGCGCCCCCTAGTGCTTACGAGCAAATCCCAAAATTACGAATATTGTGGCACCACAACAGTCGTTCACCCTCACGAGCGACCGCAGTGGCACTGCAACATTCACCCTGGTTATTCCCTCCCTCTCCACCTCCGCCCTGGGTCTCCCTAGGCACTAGGACTTCAATACTCACCCTGTGAAGATCGAGATCCTTTTCTTTCTTGGCTGCTCCAGGCCTTCGGTGCGTTTGCAGAGAATGGAGGCCTAAATTAATGCAAGACCACACAAGATCAGTGGGACAAGATCTCACGCTACTGATCTTGTGTGATCTCATGGTACTTTAGGGCTCTGTTCTCTGAAACAGAGAATGGAAACAAAGCCGGGGGATGCTTCCGCGGCCCTCCGGATTCCCGATCCAGGCATCGAAGGCCTTTCCAGGCTGCTGCCACCCAGAAGTGGGCATCTGGAGGGCCGCGGAAGCATCTCCTGGCCTTAGATCCGGGCGGCAGCAGCCTGGAAAAGGCCTCTGATGCCCGGATCCAGTCTCTGGAGGCATGCAGAAGCCTCAGATCCAGGCGGCAGCAGGATCTGTGGCAGACAGGAGATGGATCTTTTCAAGGTGAGTCCAGTGCGGCATGAAGGGAGGGAGAAGCATGAAGATTCATAGTGGATCAGGGAGGCCTTGGGGGCCTGTTCCATCACTAAGCTCTCCATAGCCTTCCCCATCCTGAGATACCTCATGTTCACTTAATGAGCCATGTGCGTTTAACGAGCAAGGGAGTAATCTCGTTCAAGGTACGAGATTCACTCTTACGAGTTTTCGAGTTACGAATGGAATGGGCAGGCTCCATTAAATTCGTAACTTGAGGACTACCTCTGTTCCCTAGCCTCTTTCTGTTTTGTATTAAATATAGAATCAGATGACATTATAGCCAGGTAACTGCAAAACCACTTTTATATGCAGTGAGAGGAGGGGGTCATCAGATTCAAAAGTTCCAAATTATATTATTCCTCAGTTTCATGTAGATGTTGAACAGATTTAACCCTGTGGGGTCCCATTGGTCAGTCATCTAAGTGTGAAAAAATAGTCTGCCAGCACTACCTTCTGGGCATAGCCAGGAAGGGCCAGAATCCTGCAAAATTGTGTCCCAAGGACTAGTCTCACCAAAGAATCCAGAAAAATGCTGAATGCTCAATATTATCAAAAATCATTAAGAATTTCAAGAAGATTAGTAGGCCATGCTCTTCCCATCCAATTTGACATATGTTATCTGTTAAGGCAACCAAATAATCTTAACAAAATCCAGGCCGAAGACATAATTGAAATTAATGAATTAATGTCATCCAGCTGCATCTGAGGCCTTCATCTTTTCCCCCAGAAATAAAATGTTTTAGATTATCTTATAGTGTCTGCTGTATAGTATAGATCTCCTGGATCAGAAAAGAGTTTCTTCAGTAGAAAACTTCGTTATGCTGGGGGTAACCCTTCCCACCTATGAAGAAGCATTTGATCTGCTCTCCTAAGCATGAGGTAGTTTACTCGTGAAAGGACAAGAATTCCTGGAAGCCCCCAATACACTCACCGAGATAAACTAGATTTACACAACATCCAAAACAGACAATAAAATACCTAGGAAGTATTCCAGCAGCCCATAATCAGATAAGCAGGAATCAGCACCAGATAAACAATCAGGCAGAAAACAATAATCAAGGAACCACCAAGGAGGAAACTGTGTCTCCACCAAAGCTGGCAGGGCAAGCTAATGCAGAACCCACACTCATTGCACTGATGATGTTATCCAGTTGGGTAATGAAACAGGACTTGGGCTGAGAGAGACAAGGGAGAGAGGAAGGCTGCCTTTCTCCCTATACTCTGTCTCTCTCAGCCTAACTCATCTCACAGGGTACCGTATTTTCCGGCGTATAAGATGACTTTCTAAACCCTGAAAATCTTCTCAAAAGTCGGGGGTCGTCTTATACGCCGGAAAATACGGGTATTCTATTTTATTCCTTTACACATGTGGTTTGGCATATTACTCATCAAGTTTTCTCTCCTCCCCCCCCCTCTCTCGCTCAAACTCTATATTTTAACTGGAAAAGTTGGGGGTCGTCTTATACGCCCAGTCGTCTTATACGCCGGAAAATACGGTAATTGTGAAGGAAATAGGAGGAGGAAGGTGTGTTGGAGATGTTCACCATCTTGAGTTATTTGTAAAAATAATAAAGGGGAATGAATGAATGAACGAAGGAACAAGCAAACAGATAAGCAAGCTGCATTATTAACCTGTAAACTGCCTTCATGTAGAAGTCCAAGGTGAATCTATTTGACTTTCAGTTGCTCATGGCAATCCTGGCTTGTCCTTTCCGATATCTTCGAGATTCTACACAGAACAAAAAAGCAATGCAAACCTTTGGTATGGAGGTAGTGAAGGCAAAAAGGTATATATATATACTCTTTGTTGCTTCTTTTCATCAAGGAAGCCAAAATTAATGCTTGTTTTGATCCATTGCAAGAATTCCCACTCATGTACTTCAGCTATCACCCAGTCCGCATTATTGCTTTCAGTTCCCTAGTAAATTAAGAGGCTGATCTGTCTCCGTGTGTGGGAGAGATTTCTTTAGAGCTTATAGTCAGTCAGTGGTTTGGGTTGTCTTAATATTCCACAGATCCACAAGGATATTTCTCAGCTGTTTTTACTTAACACAAATTATTAAACATTAATTTGTGACTAATCTCTTTCCTAATTATACTGTAAGCACAATTTCTGTATTTATTTATTTAGCATTGGGAGGTTAGTGGAGAAAAAAATAGCCCTCTACCTAGATGGAGAAAAGCCATGTGTAGGCAATTTGTTTGTTTGTTTGAGTTGAAAAATAATAGCAGTGGGAATTAGATTTGGAATTATTCACTCCATTACAAATTAGTTAAATAGTCATGGATTCAGACCATATCCTTGCTGCCCACACAAGAATTCTAAAGCATTTTGTCTATTCTGCTTTAAAATATAGACATCAAATGTTTTGAATGCCAGCTAATAAGTTCTCCTCTATGTGCTTGCCAGGTTCCACTAGATTGCATGCTAATGCTTGAGATTCTTTGACCTTCTTAATGATAAAAAGGGTTTTAAGTACACAGATAAACAGTGGACGAGGGTTGCTCAACCTCATATCTACAGTCCTTGCAAAGATCTAGCTGCACAAGGCTCTACCCTTTCCTCTCCTTTATTTCAACATGAGGGTTTTTATATATGGCTGTTGTTCAAAGACTGATTCAGCACTCTCAACAAGAGAGCAAATCTGCAGATCCTCTTTGAATTCCACTTTTTCTTGCTCTCGACATTCTTTCAAACAACCTGGATAGTAAATAAGCTAACCTGCTGTTTTGTAACAGTGCTTTTGCTTTTGCTGTTAAAATGCGTGAAGCAAATTAGGTTTATTTTTCCAAGTCAATTATTATTTTGAAATATGCTTACATTTGATGTGTATAATACTTGTAATGTATGGTTTCATTATGAGTATCCTGGGTGTGCTAAATAGGACTAAAATTATCTTGTTTTAGCAAAGAACCAGACTAAGACCTCTCCTTGGATATTTAAGGGAAAGCATGAGGTTCCAAAGATGTGGTGGGGAAGAGAGTAGGATTAAACCTGACCACCACCCCCCAGCCACAATGTCCTTTGTGCATACCCATCTCTTCATTCCCAGATCTCACATGTTGAGCAGGGAGGGCTAAAGAGTTCTTTGTGGTTTTGCTTGAATAACTGATATACATCTTAAAGGAGGAGAAAAAGTTGTTTTGCTATCCAAAATTGCATACCTCTTTCCATCTTTTCTGCACCCAGAGCAGAAGAACATATGAATATCTATAATTTTCTTGAGATGGCTGGAAGAGCATTTATTTTTCTTTAGCTTAAAAATGGAAGCAAAAGAAATCCATGGTGACATGGTTATTTCTGTTAACTTTCTAGAGCTTTTACTGAGGTTTTTTTTTTTAAAAAAAATAATAATTACGGTCTGTCTTATTTCACTAGTTGGTTTAAGAGTCTGGATCATTAATAATTCTTCATCAGCAAGATAAAATATTTTCTTTTTACAAATATAGACAATGTGATGCAAATGGCTATCTTAAGGGTCTTGCTTTCTCATGGAATAGCTAGCCTAGTGAGGATGGCCGGTCTTAACACAGTCATATAGTGAAAGATAAACTTAAGTTCAGCTGTGCAGGGAGACTATTGGGCATCCAGAAAGATATTCATAAGCCCCGTGCTTTCTTTACTGTCATATTATCTGTCTGGTGTAATGAGTAACTCTTAAGTTGGAAATGTTTAAGTAAGCATCTATTTACAGGTAACTAGGAGTTGGAAGAAAAGCGTAGTTTGACTGTCCCACAAGCTATTATGAGAAAATATGCATCAGATCAAAACAATGGACAAAATGATTTTTTTCCTCTTGTCTGTAATCAGACCTATTGCATCAATTGCTGTGCAACATAGTAGAAAAAGATTCCCCTGATACAAAACCTTTGGACTTGAGCCAAATAAAGGGAGAGGAACTGTTCAGCTAACATTTATAAACCGAAAGGCACAGGAGTCTATAGCATCTTAACATTAGTATTGCCTATGAAGCAGAGGGAGAATGAAGCAGAATGTATTAAGCCAGTGGTTCTCAACCTTTTTAATGCCGCGACCCCCAACCGGTCGTAAGTCGAGGACTAAATCGGTCGTAAGTCGAGGACTAAACCGGTCGTAAGTCGAGGACTACCCAACCGGTCGTAAGTCGAGGACTTTCCCTGCCCGGGAGCGCCGCGCATGCGTGGTTCCGCCCCTTGCGCTGGCCGAGGCGTAGCTGGCAAGCGGCAGAGACGGAGCAGGCTGACCACCAGCTGGCCCAGCCCAAGGGAGGTAAGGCACCCGCCGGAAAAGGGGAAAAAAATGGCGGACAGCCATGCTTGGCAACCCCCGTGAAATGGTCGATCGACCCCAAATGGGGTCGCGACCCATAGGTTGAGAACCGCTGTATTAAGCTGAATAGTTTGCAAGAAGGATACAACTAAATATTGAAGTTAGCATCTGCCTGCTCATTGCTTTTTCCTGCAAGATATGATACAATGAAGATAATATTTTATAAAAAGAATCTTTTGCAGAATAATAAATAGTTGGGGTTTCTTAATTTGTTAACCAGAATTAACCAGTAATGTCATATATGTCTGTGGGTATATTCTGTGTCTGTTTACACTGCTTTGATACTAAAACTAAGAAAAATGTTCCTTATGTTCAGAATATAGTTTCATTTACTGATAATACAATTTGTGTATACATAATTACCTAGATAAATCAATCTGTATCTTTCCCTTTTTTGCTCATATTCCCTATCTTGAATTTATTATTTACATTTTAGCGATTAAGCGACCAATTATAAAATATTTTACATATTTGGATGAAATTTTGTTTGCTTATTCAACAAATTTATGTGGCAGCCTGTTTAAGCAGCAAAAGTACGTTTTCCCAAAATAATTCAGCTGTTGATTCTTAAAATCAATTTCAACAATTGCTTCTAAATAATTCTCCCTGTTATTTGTTATAGGTCATCTAAAACTAAATTGTAAATGAATCCCAAAATATAATTGTTTTATAAGATAAATATTTTATGAGGATGTTTTCTGATAGTCATAAGTTTAATGTTAGATTAATCCAGTGTTGATATTATAGAGTGAAGGTCTTTATAGAAATGATGCTATGTAGTATTTCACGTGGAATAGAACATTTATTTTGCCTTTTCTTTCTAACTACAATCTTAATTAACTAGTAAGTGTAAGGCAAAATGGGCCTTTCTCCAGATTCATTTCTTTTTGTTTGAACATTTATCATAAGTTTACCTTAAAATAACAGTATGATGATGTGGTCAGAATATTGTCTAAACCAAATATGGACGCTCAGAATTTAGATGGATTTTAATTGGATTTGGTAGCCCATTCATTATTATATCCTATGGTATTCTCTCCCACCCACCCTCCCTCCCTTCCTCCTGTCTGTCTGTCTGTCTATCCCTCCCTCCCTCCCCTATCCACCTACCCAGCCACCTACCTATCTGGATTTTTTGTGGTTTAAATAGGTTCTCTGTTCAAGCTGATGTAGAGACAGCAAATAGCAATTCATGTTAGCTTAATTCCTGCTGTATTGAAATGTACAGTTATTCTGAACTATTTTAAGAAGTGTTAGTTTTGAAACCACACACTACGCTAAAACCAAGCAGCCTGTTTCTGTGTATTTCAGGAATACAGAAAAGGAAAATTACTACTTTCAGGACTTTTTCAAATACCTTTCCTGAAGTAGTAAAATGTTCATGCTCCAACTGTAGTATTTCCATTTCATGTTATGTACTGGTTTTTTGTCTGTTCATGTGCTTAGTTTTTATCATGTCCAAATCTCATACAAAAACATAGAAATTAATTTTTTTCTCTCTATTAAGCTTATTTCTTGTCGCCTGAAAATTTAAAAAAATGTAAAATATCTCAACTTGAAGTCATGGTTTTCTTGATTGCATCCTTGAATATCTTACTACTCTACTTTGCCTATTTTTCATCCTTATTGTTCTTATTCTATTCCTTTCACTGCCTTCACCTTACTGTCTTCTATTTTCCTTTCTTTCCTTCTTATAGGCTCTGATGTTCTTTACATTGGCCCAGTAAAAGGTGAGCCTTGTGTGGATAGGACTTTTCTCTCCTGTCTTTTCTGCTTCCTGTTCCTCTAAACCAGGAGTAGGCAACCTTGGCTCTTTTATGACTCATGCTGGCTCAGGAATTCTGGGAGTTGAAGTCCACGAGTCATAAAAGAGCCAAGGTTGCCTACCCCTGCTCTGAACTATATGAATCTGAAAACCAAGGAACTTCTTGGTTATATTTTGACCATATGGTGTCCCACAATTTCTCTAGGTACTCGTTATAAAATATGTGATTTAGGTTCTGGATTTTTTTTCTAATTGAGAAAACAGTTAATATATATTGAGTGCTATTGAAATAACACAGTATTTTAACATTCTATCAGAAACAGTATTAGAAATACAAATTATTCATATTTTATACTTCATATATATATAGTGTAGCTAGGAAGCAAAGTTACAGATCTGCCTATTTTGACTGGAAAAAATGCTGCTTAACTGAAAATAGAGCCTAGAGGCTTCCATCATTTGTATCGGAAAAGCTCTGATATTACACCCACATTCTTTTTCCACAACACCTAAATCTACAGCAGGTAGCAATAACATACCTCCTTCCATGTTTCTCAACAATAAGTACTGAGAACCGTATTGCTTTTTTATATTTTATATAATGCATGGGTATGAGAAATAATAACCATGAACAGCTCTATAATCCGTTTGTTTTGTTTAGATTTATAAGCTGCCCCATTCAAAAAAAGAAAAACAGCATATAGCAATAAATGAATGCAATATATAAATATAAAATGGAGAGCCAAGTACATAACAAAACAACCAAAAGGGGATTCTCACTCAGTTGGCCACTAGTGCTGGAGGGAAGAGCCAAGTCTTAATGGCTTTCCTAAAGGCGAGAGAAGAGTTGGAGCCTGAGTACTGTATATTTGAGGCCCTCTCAATTCCTGGCAAATAGATGGGGAAGAAATGGAGGTAGTGACAGATTTTATTTTCCTGGGCTCCAAGATCACCTCAGATGGGGACTGCAGCCAAGAAATTAAAAGACGCTTGCTCCTGGGGAGGAAAGCTATGGCAAATCTAGACAGCATACTAAAAAGCAGAGACATCACCCTGCCAACAAAAGTGCGTANAGTGCGTATAGTCAAGGCCATGGTTTTCCCAGTTGCAATGTATGGATGTGAAAGTTGGACCATAAGAAAGGCTGAGCGACAAAGAATTGAGGCCTTTGAACTATGGTGCTGGAGAAGACTCCTGCGAGTCCCTTGGACTGCAAGGCGTTCAAACCAGTTAGTCCTAGAAGAGATCAACCCTGACTGCTCTTTAGAAGGCCAGATCCTGAAGTTGAAACTCAAATACTTTGGCCACCTAATAAGAAGGAAGGACTCACTGGAGAAGGGCCTAATGCTGGGAAAGATCGAGGGCAATAGAAGAAGGGGACGACAGAGAATGAGGTGGCTGGATGGAGTCACTGAAGCAGTAGGCGTGAACTTAAATGGACTCCAGAAGATGGTAGAGGAGGACCTGGAGACCTGGAGGAACGTTGTCCATGGGGTCGCGATGGGTCGGACACGACTTCGCAATTAACAAGAACAAAATCTTTCCAGAGCAGTCACTGAATTTACAATATTTATAATCTGTCCTGAATTTTGAGGGCCCAGAGCCACTAATAAGAACCAAAGTACAGCCTTGTTTTAAAGCCATCTAAAAAGCATCTTCTAATTGTAGCTTTCTAAATTAAAGTATATGCTGTTTGGAGAACTTCTTTGTTGTCCTTAATATCCTACCATTCAGCTTCACTAAATGACCTAGGTTCTCTTATTACAAAAAAACAGAATGGGTGGGATTTTGTCTATCACATACATAATTTTTTAATATCTTAATCTCACAGGTGACTATTCCATCTTTCTGTAACACTTTCCAAAACATCATGTGGTCACAGTTTAAATTCAACCTTCTGGACACCATATGGACCTTATACTCACATGTTCATGTATAACTGACATGCATTGTAGAAATCCCTTCTTATTTCTGCAGCATTCAGTAAAAAATTTGAGTTCTGGAGTTATTGGTATTGTAGGTTTCTTCTGAATTCAGTGGACTAAGTATGGAATACTAATTTGATTCTTCCTATCTTTCTCCAATTTAGGGAATGTATATTCAAGTCCAGGGCTTTATAGCAAAACCATGACACCAACTTACGATTCTCATGATGGGAGTCCTTTATCACCAACTTCAGCTTGGTTTGGAGACAGTGCTTTATCAGAAGGAAATCCAGGTATACTTGCCGTCAGCCAGCCAATCACCTCCCCAGAAATCTTAGCCAAAATGTATAAGCCACAATCACTTCTGGATAAAGCCAAGATCAACCAGGGGTAGGTTTAAAAATATTAGTTTTGGAGCTTGTTTGTGTGAAAACATTGCTTTGTAATGACTGAGCTAGTTTTTCTTTTTCCTCTTTTGGAAGATGGCTAGATTCTTCAAGATCACTTATGGAACAAGATGTGAAAGAAAATGAAGCTTTACTACTGCGGTTCAAATATTACAGCTTCTTTGATTTGAATCCTAAGGTATACAGTTATGTTAACTATCATATAGTCAGGATTTTCAGTGCATGTACATGGGTTAGTGACTTTGTGATCAGTATAGAATTTTTTTACCGAATTGCTAGGAAATTGTTGGATTATAACCCATAAAAAGCAAGATAAAGGCCAGTGAAGCAAATAATTTAATAATAACAGAATAACATAGAGGAGTATTTAAGGGACAAAATCATGATCAGTATGCTAACACTAATTTCCAAATCGTATTTTAAAAGCTATGATTTTATTTGATATCAGAAGATCCATATTTTTAGTAATATTGTGGCTTATTAGCTTTTTCAGGATTAGGATATTCCAAAGCCACAGCAAGGCCCTCTTCCACATCTCCATATAATAAAGGTAGTCCTCAATTTATGACCATAGCTGAGACCAGAATTTCTATTAATAAACAAGGCATGTGTCATGGGTAGGTACATCCATGGGAATAATCCTCAAGTAATGGGATACCAAACTGGTAAAAGCTTTAAATGTTATTAGTAAAGCCTTGAATTGACCTGTAGGCAGGCAGCAAGAACAATTATTTCAGAACTAAATTTGTGTGGTTTTTTTTCTTTTTAAGTCTATTCTGAATGTGTTTTGCTGATGTATTCTGTACTAATTGTACTCCTAAGATCTTCCAAGAGCAATTTTGTGCAGAATGTGTTGTGGTAATCTAAAGAAGATGACATCTGTTATGGATTATTGTGATTAGGTGTTTCTGTGCCTTGAAGGGTTACAAGCCTCAGACTGGGCATGCATTAATGCATTTCACTGAGGCCTTGAATGACAAACACACATTTAAGAGTGTGTGTGGCAAAGCTCCACACTGTGCTCCTTCAGGGAGAGTGCAACCAGTGGTGGGATTCAGCCAGTTCGCACCACTTCAGCAGAACCGGTAGCTAATTTTTTGTTGCCCAGGCCCAGAATGGACTTCCGGAAGTGGCATCCACACAGAGAACCGGTTGTTCACATATTTGAATCCCACCACTGAGTGCAACCCTTATTTGGAGTGAGAGACTACCCCATCCTAAAAGTTGGGAGTACCATTTAAAAGGCAGCATTAAGGCAAAGGTTAATTTTGCATCAACTAGGAAAAAGAAGATTGGGAAAGAGATAATTTCAGCATACTGTATTTGGAATAGATAGCTTATTTAAATTATAGCAGAGGGAAGGAAATTTTCTGTTGGAGCACTGCATCTTCTGACCTTAAATGGCCTGTTGTGTTTCAGAGTGGCATAGCATTTGATCAGCAAGCAAAAATGAAAATTTTGTAAAAGGTTTATTGAATTTGGGGGGGGAGATTTCTGGTTAAAAAAACTGCACACTGTCCATAAGGTGGGTTATGAATCGATGATTTGGTTATGTCTCCATAGTATGATGCAATCAGAATAAATCAGCTATATGAACAATCAAAATGGGCTATTCTTTTGGAAGAAATCGAGTGCACAGAAGAGGAAATGATGATGTTTGCAGCACTGCAGGTGAGTGTGGGCCCTGAAGACCCAGAGCTCTTTAAGTCTTGGATTTTGCCTTTCAAAGAATCCTTAGCAAATGCTGAAATCCTTGATGTACTAAGTTTCGTATATTGCATGTATTCTTTTTCTGAATTAGAACATTTTGTCCCAACAAATATTGCTCTGTTTTCTGTAAGGTTTGCTTGAACCTTTTTTGGGAATCTAAAATAGATTTGCCTCTTTTTAATGTCTCATGCAAAGGAATTTGGGTTCTTTTTTCACAAACATGTTTGTATCTTTTTATTAGCTTTTAAGCAAACGACAAGTACATTAGGTTACTGAACCACAAGATTCTGGCACTGAGCCTCTCAGGCAGCTGGTGATAATTCCTGGGTTTCCCAAAAATATCTTTGCCCCTTCCTTTACGTTCTCAGACTGCAGCTCATTTGGCAAACAAATTTATAAACACGTTTAATGTATTTTTCTCTGTACTTTCTTTTTCTCTTCTAAAGAAATCCCTTTCTATATTAGCAGTTTAAAGTGTCTCACATTGAAACTCATTTATGGTCTCTATGTATTATACATAGGGCCTAGGAACTCAAAATCTTATTAGAACTCTCTAGGTACGACATAATCTTCTGAGGCCAGAACATTAACTGTAACTATAGTTAACTATAATCTAGAACTAAATTAAGTTTTGATGTCAAAGCCATTGTCAGTCTCCTAATATTTTACCATGTATGGAAATGCTTAGCGGCCACTTAAACAAATCATAGTTAACAGTTAAGTAACTGCTTGTTATATGCAATTTTATTAATTGATACTGAAGCATCAGTGAAAACAGAATTAACCTAGTATGAGAAATGGGAGGGCTTTATATCATGTAACGTTCTCTATTAAGTAAAATAGTAAAAATGACTAAGCTATTTCTTTCCCGGTTAATATAGGTATAGATATGTTTAAAATTGACATTTGAAAAAAATAGAAGTAAAGGGAGATAAATACTTGGGAATATTCTTCTACAAAATTTTATACTCATTTATACTCATGTAGTGTGCTAAGTGAAGAGACTATTCACCGTGGAATAAATCCTTTCACATAAAGAAAATTATGAGGTCCATTTTTGTTCTAAACCTCTGGGCTATGGCCCACTATATTGCACAAACCGGGTCATGCAAGCTGTGTGCGAGTGTGTGCACACACTTGCCGCTTGCACAGAGCCATTCCCACCCACCCCGCCATTCTGCCAAGCTGCAAAGGTTGGGGAACGCTGTTCTAAATGCTTCTTATATAAGTGAAAAGGGATAACTAAGGAATATGAACCTAGTCATGATTACTACTGAATCAGAAACATCGACCTTTATTTCTAAAATGAATTCTACATTAAGAATTAGTTGAGTTAATTCACAAAACATGTCCCACACTTGCCTTGTGGCTGTCATTCAGAGTTTTGATTAGATATGATACCAAGTGCTATGAAGGCTATATTGTATTATCATCAGCCTTTGAGCAGATCAAGAGGATTATAGATACTGTACATACATACATACATATATACCGCACTATTAATTTTCAATTGCTTTATTTCAGTACCACGTTAATAAGTTGTCAATCATGTCATCTGAAAATCACTTGAATAACAGTGACAAAGAAGTTGATGAAGTTGATGCTGCCCTTTCTGATTTGGAGATTACTCTGGAAGGTGGGAAGACCTCCACAATTCTGGTAAGAACTGAGAAGTAAGAGCTTAATGTTTTCTTTTCCAAGAATGTGAGACTAATAGTCTGAACACAAGAGAAGTAGTCAAGCTGCTGATCATACATGGGCAGTTTGAGAAGAACTCGGTTCATAATCTAAAAAATAGGTTTCACAGAATCCAGAGCAAGGTCTGGAGCAACTTTAACTGGATTAGGTAATATCCTGCTAGTCCTTTTCATTGCCTATTTCATACTGAGTTGGTAGGCTATAGGTAGTCTTCAACTTATGACTGGTCAAAGTTACGATTAACCTCCCCAGAGATGCTTATGACTCGTTTTTGGAGCTAAATGGCCATACATACATACCTCCTCGTCACATGATCGCATTTTGGGTGCTTGGCAAACAGCTCACCTTTACAGCCATTGGAAGCATCCCAATGCTTGTCGCATAATTAAGATTTGCAAAAAGTTTATAGCGAAAAAACAGCCATTGGGGAAAATGATTTTGCGTAATGACTACTGTGTTTGCTGTGTTTACAACCGTTGGGGAAAAAAACAGTTGTAATTTCAAATCTGGTCACGTGTTGTCTCAACTTAAAACCTCAACAGCTTATGACCATTATTCTGGGTTGAATTGCGATTGTAAGTCGAGGACTAACTGTATGGCACAAAAACATTGGGAATCTTCAATAGAGTAATTGAACTGACAGAAAGCAGATGGTCAAGTTCCATTAGAAAGCTCTCATAGTAATTCAGAGAGTAAGCCTCTGGCCTAGAGATGCTATAGAAGTCTCCACTTTGCATGCCTACCTGAAATATTAGTGCAGAATATTAATGCTGTGGGATTTCTTAGTTAAAGCACTGAATTGATTCTTACTTAGCCCCTTGAAGATATTTTCTGGCAAAGCAGGTAACCCGAGATGCACCCCCTTAGAATCTGCCCTGTGCAAGCATTGCTGTAGTCACTGAGAACTGTGTACTAGCCATGATTTGCATAGGTCCATTAATTTCAATAGGATTTGTGAGAAGGCTTTTCTAATTGGGGATTATGTTGTTTAGTAAACATTTAGGATGAAATGGAGACTTGGTGCCAAAACGTACATCTTTTGGAGTTCGTTTATATAGTCCAGTTTCAGAGATTGTCTTTTAAGGACACTTATGCTAAATCAGCTCTGCCAAGGAATTTTAGGGTATTTTTGCCAAACACGTCCTTGTGGACTCTCTTGGACTTTTCACAGGTCATTTGTTTTTTTCTTTGGAGCTGGAGCTTCCACTCCCACCCCTCATGAGAACCCCATTCTCTTGAACTATTTTATGCACAACTGCTAATCTAAGATGAAAGAGAGATACCGTTGATGTGTTTGTCCAGTTTTCTAAAATCTGTAAACAAACTTCCAGGACATCTGTAAATAGGCAGTGGAGTCTGCACATAAGTTCTAGTAAAAAATGCCATCTGTCTAAATTGTGCTGAGAAAATTATGTCCATGAAGCTTCAGATTAAAACAGGTTTTGATTTTGTTAACCTGCTATATTTTCCTGTTGTAATGCAGGCTCCTTTCCTTTTCCACATTTATTTTTAGCAATTTAAAGCCTTTTGCTGAGGAGACTATAGCATAATTTGTGCTTGTCCCAGGTTGGGAGGGAAGGTAGGGAGAGAGTCAGTGGAAGATACTGACGATTCTTTTAAAGAGACTCCAAGAAAGAAAAAGAAAAAAAACAAAATGAGTAAAATATAGTCATCTAGATCAGGGCTTTTCAACCTTTTCACCGTTTGTACCACTTTTAGGATATGGCAGTATTCGAGTACTACCTAGCAAGGTGTCAAAAACTTGATAACCAAAAAAAACCACAAACCTGTTCAAAGTTGCAATTGCACTGAAATGACATGACCATTTTTCACACTTATGACCATTGTAGCATGCCCAGGGTCATGTGATTTATATTTGGATGCTTGGCAACTGAATCATATTTATGATGGTCACAGTGTCCCAGGGTCATGTGATCCCCTTTTGCAACCTTTTGACAAACAAAGTCAATGGCAGGGCTGCTGGTGGCCAAGTGCTAAGGCAGGACTTCCTTCCCTCCTTCCCTGCCTCCCTCTTTCTCATTGCCATCTCCTTCTGAAGGAAGAATTTGAACCACCCCCCATATTTTCCCTCTTCCATATATTCATCAAACAAGGAAAAGCCTCCAGAGACAGAAAAGACAAGCCGCTGAGGGAACTAGCTTAAAAAGGCGCATTCCCCTTTAAGAATTAGCTACTGGCTAGAAAGGAAAGTTAAGGAGCTGGCCGGCACTTAAGGGAGAGAAAAAACTGGCTGCCGGCTAAGGCAGCCTCCCCAAATGGCTCCATTCATAAGTAAAGGAATGCTACAGGCAAAATCAATTCAGGAGAAAAATACTTCAAAATCCTTTGCAGCAAAACTTACAGCTAACAGTAGCAGAGCAATAGAAGCTAACACGAGACATCAGCCATCAGCCAAATAGAAATTGCCAAACAGTCCTTAAGAACACAAAGCCCACATTGAACAAATCCCAGAACTTCAAAGTCACAAAAGCATATAAGAATCCTTCCACTCTCCATCTCCCTCCCTCCCTCTGTGCGATGCTGCCTTTCTTCATTGCTGCCTTTCTTCATTCCTCGTGGAGGGCGACCCCTCCCCCGCTACGTTTCTTGCCTGTTTGTTGCTGCCAGCACAGATGGCTGCCACAGAAGTTGTAAATCAGCTCATGGCCGGCCTGCTGGATCTCCTCTCCTCTCCTTCTTCTTTCCCTTCGGTGCAGCTAGAACTGACTCTGCCTCCTCCCAAGGCTGCTTCTTTTTTTCTCTCTCCCTCTCCCACCCAAACTGCCTCCTTTTATAGCCTCTCCTGTCTCCACCCCCTCCTCCTCCTTTCTCTTCTGGGTGAGCCAGAAGTGAGCCTGGGGCCTTTGCCTCACCCCAGCCACTCTGCAGCTCCGGAGGACTCTCTCACAGTGTCCTTGCCTGTGCTGGCTCGTTCCCTCCCCCAGTACACTTGGCTGGGCAGGGCTGCGTACCACCTACCACGTGCTAATGTACCACAGGTGGTACATGTACCACCGGTTGAAAATCCCCGATCTAGATTATACCTTGATGACATGAAGGAATTTGACATCCTGCTCCTTTTATCTAGTGATGTATTTAGATAAACCAGATCAGTTCTTTTAAGAAGAACAATTATAAATGTAAATATAAGAATATAAGTTTCAGATCGTCATCCTATTGCCCAGGGTCTTAAGGATGCTCACATAGATCTTCCATAGGTCCTAACTGTTCGTCTCATGAGATCAACTAAACAGGCCTCATTTTTCATAGAAAATAAGCATTCATCCATCATTTTTCATAGAAAATAAGCCCAGTTTGGAAACACGCTCACCTGTCCAGAAAAAAAGAGAGAGATAGATTGAAACTGCTTTCATTTTCCCTCCTTTTTTTCCTCTGAAGAATGTTAAGGGCTTGCATAAATCCCAAGAACTTTCCAGGCAAGGAGAACAAAGTGGTTGTTTCTGTTAAAGGATGCTTGCTATCCATGTGAGATAAAAGCTTAATATTCAGGAGGAAGGACTGATAATTTTGACAGATGTCCAGGGCTGCAGTTATGCAATAAATGCTACACTTGTGACTCCAGATTTGGAACATCTGAGTTACGTTAAAATTGTCCCAAAATTTAAATCCGTATTGCTAGATCTTGAAAAATATAGTAAAAACAAAACTCAAGACCATAGACCAGGCTAGAGTAAAGTTGCTGCATTTCTACTTTAAACACATGTAATTAGGATACATTAGTAATTAGTTGCAGATTTATATATAATTAACTGGGAGAAAAAGTGATTTATTTTTCAGTGAATAAATTGTGAATGATGGGCCAGATTCTTTTAATGACTGATTCCACATTATAAACAATCCTACATGTGGCTCACAACTGCATGATAATGTTGCTGTTTCATCTCTTGAAGTAATGGTGTTGACTGTGATTCTTGATCCACATACCTTTTAAGTGAGCAGTATCTTAAAATGCACCTCAGAATCTTGAACACAGATTCTCTGTGCAGAAATGATAAACGAAACCTAGATAGTAAAAATGAACGTCAGCCATAGAAGAAAGTTGAGGAAGCTTTCTTCCATCTTTAAACTGGTTTAGAAAAACAAATACTTCATCTTTTCCAGATAATATGATTTTCTAAAAATCTAGATTTATTCCTATAATTCTTTTTAATTAAGTCTCTTCTTCCTCCTCAACCAAGAACATTGTTTTTTTGTGATGGAACTGTGTATCCATTTAATCAGCTAAATCAGTGCTTCCAAATTGTTTGTTTCTCTTTCAAGAACCAATTTCAGATCCTTGCAGATAAAATATAATGCCAGCTGTCTTATTTACAGGGTGACATCACTTCCATCCCGGAGCTAGCGGACTACATTAAAGTGTTCAAGTAAGTACTAAAAAATCTAAAAATCTGGAAGAAACAGTACAAATCAATAAGCTTTATAATAAATAGGTTATAATAAATGCATCTCTCTTAGTGTCTAGAGCAAGGTTTCTCTATCTTGACAATTTTAAAATGTGTGGCTAGAGAGTTCTGGGAATTGAAGTCCACACATCCTAAAATTCCCAAGTTGAAAAACGCTGATTTAGGTACATAATCACTTTCATTTTGAAACTTGGAGCATGTTTTCTTAGAATTTTTTTTACCAGTTCTTTCTAGAATTTTTCTTAAATTGCAGGGTTTAATCTGAAAATACATGAAGTCTGAAGAGTAATTGTGCTTCAGAAACTGTGCTGCTTCTCTATAATGACTAGACTTAACCTCTGCATGTTGATTTAATTTATATTGTTAGGAATTTTACTTCAGGTAGTCAAATAACTGGAAAATATAAAAATGCAATCATTTGTGATTTACTTGATTCCTGCATGTCATCTCTTGATCCTTTGGTCAATAAGGAGTGAATATCTTTTTTCAATTCCTAAAGTCAGTGGTTTGGGCTGGCATGTTCTCCGTGCTGGAGAACATACTGACTGGGGAATTCTATCAGTTGAAGTCCAACTCAACTTGCCAATGTTGGACACCCCTGTCCGAGAAATAGGGATGTTGCTGCATAGTTTGAAGTATTATTCAAGCATCTTTCTTGCATTTCATGAGCATATAGATAGATAATAAATAAGATTCCAGTTAATCTATTCTATTTACACTGGCAGCCACTTACAGTAGCTGTGCTGCTCTTTAGTCAGGTTTGTTTTTACTTTTAAATAAGACTTTTCATGAGGAAAAAAATAAGAATATTATCTTGGATCTGGACATGTGGAAACTAGAAACAGTTGTGTCTGGATTTGGGTTAATATTTTGGCAGGCTTAGCTGTCTGTTACAAATGAATACCCCACCATACTAAGGATATGAGATGAGTTTTGGAACTGGTACAAAGACATGTTGAATTTTGCAAAATAGGCAGGAAGAACAGTTGAAAGGTAATAGCACAGAAACTATGGGTACTTTTGAGAAGAACTCCAAAATAGCTTTGTCAGTCTTGTATTTGCTATTATATAGGGCCTAGGCAATTCTTTCTCCCTTCCATTTTCTTTAAGTGGGGAAGATAGATAGGCACTTCCTTTTGATAACTCCATTACATAATCTATCACTTCTTAGAGCTGCAGTTTTAAGATAGATCTTATTTTAAGGCACTTTGAATGTTGGGCTTGAGTAGTGATTTGATTTCTAATCGCTTAATGTTGTGGCAAATCATCCTCTGTACTTAACTTATCTCAGTGGACTTTTGTAGAGATGATTCCTCTGTACCAAAGAACTTGTGTTAGTTGTGAAAGAGAAAGCAGCCTAAAATTCTGATTCAGAGGAAAATCCCTGTATAAATCACATATCGAGGCACAAAATAAGTCTATTTTTCTTATAAACAATTACATTTTGCAAACTTCCTGTCCTCCAGAAAATATTTTCATACTGCTTTATCTGTCAAGGATTTCCTGTACATCTGCAATAGCATTCTAGAATGCATTGGGGACACTGTTATTTTGCTAAAATGCTGCTGATGGGTTTTGAAACTCAGATATTATTAACTCATACAAGGTGGGGGGAAAAAAATCAGCCCATAATATGTAAGTCAATTTTGCTGTAGCTGTGTGTTGCATAGAGAATCAATAATTGTAAGCAACCGGCACTTTGCAGAGTCTTGTATGATATTATTGTTATTCCCATGAAGAATGTCTCCTCCTTCTCTATACAGACAGCCTCCTATTTGATCTCTTTGTTTAATAAAATCACACTGTTTTTGATAGAGTGAAATCTTTTAAATGGAGCAGAAGCAGTGACCCTGGGAACCTTTACCAATTTGGGCTGGTATACCCCTTGTGGCCAATTTCCGTAATAAGATATGCTAGCAATAATCACTCGTGCACTTTTCACCTTGAGACTGAACTGTAATTTGCTCTACATGGGGTTGAAGAACCAGCTTGCATAAATCACTTTGAGCTAAATAGAGAACCTGTGACCCTTCTGATTTTGCTAAATACTAGTTCCCAGCAACATCCCCCATCTTTGACCGTAGTAACTGGGCAACTAAAAGTTCTGATTCAGCAGCATTCAGAAGACCACAAGTTTCTGTGAGAGCAGGTGATGAGAGGCTGTTGCAAATGTACCCCCATTTCATTCAGTTATGTTATCAGTGGTAGTAATAGTATACTACTTTACAGGCCAAAGAAGCTAACCCTGAAGGGTTATAAGCAGTATTGGTGTACCTTCAAAGACACATCCATCTCCTGTTTCAAAAGTAAAGAAGAATCTAACGGGACTCCAGCTCATCAGATGAATTTGAGAGGTAACAGAACAAATGCAGTTTTGGTGATCTTTTCATCTCTCCACAATTGAGCTGTATTTTAAATTTGCTTATTTTGACATTTCTCTGACCTTGCGATAAGATGTAAATA